AAAAGAAAATAAGACCCTGTCTTATTTTCGGAGAAACACGGTAGGACCATAATTGAGCCCAAAATTTTGATTGTAAGTCATGATGGTTGTAAAGAGAGTTACCGCATGACTGCGCTTACTCTCAAGACTGGTTTTTGTGGCGGTTTTAAACAAATGCCATGGTTGTTAATCCAACGCCTGCTATGGGGCTGTTTTTGCCGGAAAAAAACCAAACTAAATCCTGGTTTCAAGCAAAAACATCATAAAGTGTGGTCACATGATGCTTGCTGCAAACATTTGCTAATGCTGCCCAATTGCTGAGCACACATAATGAAGTCATGTGACTGCAGCCGTTTTTCTTGACCGTTTTTCTTTTCGTGAGCCAGTTGTAAATCGAGGTCCTCCTGTAGGTACCATGGATGAGTACCTTCAAGGGTCTGTCCTTTCTCATCATGGCTCTTAGTCTTGGAAGCGAGATGTTGAGTGACATCCTTTCACAGAGAATGTTGCATTCTTTGAAGCAGGATACATGGAAATGCTTCCTGAATCAGGAACATGGCTGTATTACTGCAGGATCTTGGTCAGTTAGTCCTGGTATACAAATGACGCAGCAGGATGATCTGCCCCCCGCAGTGGCACATTGGAAACTTGGGACATAATGTCTTCAAGAATGAAGTCTATAAACTAGGTTTATAAACCTCTTCAAGTGCAACAGCAAGCAAGCTCAACATTTTGGAAGCTGAAGAAGGCGGAACCAAGCAGAAACTAAATGTAGTGTAATTGACGTGTAAATATATTTAAAAATAAAGTTAACTATTTAGTAGCCATATTGATTCCAGTTTATGCAAGGTTTTGAAGACTGCATGAAGCCCTCAGGCATCAAGCTATTTACCCCTGTGCACGAACACCCAATTCTAATTTGGAAAACTATGCTAAAGCTATCGGAAGTTTGCAGGATGTCTCCTGCAAAATTTTTGCATTTACATTAATAAATAAGAAATTTTAGAGGAAATTAAGATAGCACATCTAAGAGTTGCATTTTTTAAAAAGCAAACCAGTATTGTCCAAGAGCTTTTAACAGCCTAAAAATCTTTCACATTTATTCTCATTAATTCCAACACTGATTAACACCTCATTATTAATCAAGTGTGGAAGGAGAAATCAACCTCAGGACTTGACAGTTTGAGATAGTTTGAGCCTGAATTTAGGGAAAATGAATTTCCTGAATAGTTTCAATTAATTTTTACCTTGATGCCTGTCTTTTCAGATTGCATGATTAATCAGTTGCATCTTACTGCATTATTTTTCTCTGTTCTCTTTGACCTCTAACAAGGGAATATTTTCCATAAGTAATTAAAGGTATTTGGAAAAAATTTGTTGGAGCTCTTTTTAAAAAACTGAGAAGAGCCTCTGTTTCTCATGGTATGTTCTAATTTCTTTTCATGTGTGCAAGAAAATGGGCTGAAATAATAGAGTTCACTTAGAAATCTTAGAAATAGAATCCATGTCCAGGAACATCCGTATTTTACTTTTTTAAAAATCAGTGGACAGTAGCCCTGTGTTATCATAATACATCTGAGAATAGTTCATTAATCTATGTAATGTTTCTCATATTGAAAATCAAGGTAATAGCATTCTTGCAAGTGTAATCAAGTTCTATTAAGGTTTTTCCAAAGGTTTTTCAGCAATGCCATATAGTTGCTTATGAACAATATTTCTTCTGTTTCCTGTTCTACTCTGTGAGAATGATTCTGCTTTTTAATGAATTTATTCTACAGATCATAGTGGGGTAGCAGTTTAAAATTTGACAGGGTGGAATTGAGTCATTCTTAAATCCTGACAGTCGCATGGACAACTCTTTGCAGATCCCTACACATTTTCAAAATTCATTTGCCATTGCCTAGGGCTAATAAAGGAATGGTTTAAGATTGCCAAGCTGGCTTTTTTGCTTAAGGCAGGACTACTACTCAGGATTCCCTGCTTCTAAAGTAGCACCTTAATCCCTAGACCCTGGTGGCTTTCAGTGTAAACTCTAGCATTGTTAGATATCAGGGAAATCATTAATCCAATGCAAATTGGCTGAAGGTCAGGTAATGTGATCAATAAAAGTATCTCTCTCTCTCTCTCTCTCTCTCCCTCCCTCCCTCCCTCCCCCCTCTCTCTCTCGATAGACACAGATATATGTGTACAGTTAGTATCTTGGGTTTCTTCCCGTGTAATTGTAAACATATCCTTAAAAGAGTAATATGACGTTTCGACGAAATCACATTCGTCATCTGGCTGATGTTCTCGGTTTGGTGCTTATGGGCAAACTGTGCGATCATAACTGACATTTTTCTATGAAAAGAGGCAAAGGTATATTCTGATTGGTCGACAGTGTTGTATTCTGATTGGCTGATGACGTAGCTGTATTTTGATTGGGTGGAAGCGCTGTTGCTTGGTTGTGGGTCAATGGATAAGTTATGCTGGAACTGGTGGCAACACAGGCATTTTGGATGAACCTTTGATCTATGGTTTATATTTTGTGTTAAGATTCGTCTGTCTATGAGAGCAGGTTTCCAAATAGTAGGCAGACGGGAAGTGTCATCACGTTTATTCATACAATATGGTCTTTTCTCTATTTCAATGGCCTCTCTGATTATTCTGCCATTGAGATGTTCTATTTTTGCAACTGTTTTTGTGTTATTAAAATTAATATTATGTCCTGTGGCATTTATGTGTTGTACTAATGATGATGTGTGTTCTATCTTTTGTACTGAGTTTTTATGTTCCTCGATGTGCACACTCATTCTTCTGTTGGTCTGTCCAATATATGTTGAGGGGCAGGAAGCACAGGGGATTTCGTATATGCCTTGATCTTCTAATTCTATTTTGTCTTTAGGGTTTCTCAGAATAGACAATATCTTTCTATCTGTGCAAAATATGGTTTTGATGTTGTGTCTATGCAGAACTTTGCTAATTCTATCGGTTGTTCCTTTTATATAGGGCAAGATGGCTTTCCCATTGTTTTGTTCCTCTTGTTGATTTCCGTCTGGGTGTTGCATGCTGGATCATACTGATGATTTTATTTCTACAGAACCCATTTGATGTCAGTACGTTAATTAATGTATATAATTCTGTTTGTAAATGTGCTTCATCAGCCAGACATTTAGTTCTTGTGGTTAATGTTTTGGCAACAGAGTTTATTTGTGCTGGATGGTGATGTGATTTAGCGTTGAGATAGCGGTTCGTATGTGTCTTCTTTTGATAGATGGTATGTCCTAACGTGCCATCATATTTTTAATAAATTAATACATCGAGGAAAGGCAACTGATTTTCTGATTCTATCTCCATGGTGAACTTTATTTTGGGATGGAGGCTGTTCAAATATACTAAGAAGTTTTCCAGTTTATCTCTTCCATGCGGCCAGATCACAAAAGTGTCATCAACATATCTAAGCCACAATTTTGGCTTGTTAACAGTTTTTTCTAAAGCATTGGTTTCGAAATCTTCCGTGAAAAGATTAGCGATAACCGGTGATAATGGAGATACCATTGGTGCACCTTCTATTTGTTTATATCTCTGTCCTCTGTGTATGAAATATGTGTTGGATAAATAGATATATATAGATATATACATACACAGATATATATAGATATATACGGTTCGATTTATATGCCGCCCTTCTCCGGAGACTCAGGGTGGCTTACAATGCATTAAGCAATAGCCTTCATAGTTTTGTATATACCTGCTTAATAGGGCTTTCGCCCCCCCCCTATTTTATATATATATATATACAAAGTCAGCTTATTGCCTCCACAATCCGGGTCCTCATTTTACCTATGGAAGGCTGAGTCAACGTTGTGTTTTGTGTTTTGTGTTGTGTTTTGTGTCCCCTTTAGTTGTTTGAGCAGTGTATAAACTACTGTATGTAATGAACAAAGTATTTAATAAGGCTATTTCATTCATTCAGATCTCGGATGTCTTCTGCTTGTGTTCCCTTTATTTTTTTGAGCAGTATATATATATCTGTATGCATGCATATATATATACATACATATGGTTATACTCACACACTAAAACAGCTATAATGACTGTATTTGTAGGGTTGTGTCTACAAATCCTTACAGATGTCTCCTAATGTTCAACAGTGCATACAAAGTGCTGTTGTTTGAACCATAAAAACAGCCACATATATTTCCAGATTTGTGAAGATGCTTCATAAATTATCCACAGATGTCTCTGCATGCATGGGCATGCATGGTAAGGCTATGTGGGAGTTGCATATAGAGTGCAATTTAGACTCAAAGAGGAGAAGATTTAGAACATGTATGGCATATGTATATGTGTGACCTGCCATCTTCTCTTTACATCAAAGAGATCTTTTTCTGTTAGGGTACAGTGGCAGCCACATTTATTTATTTATTTATTTAATTATTGCGATTTATATGCCGCCTTTCTCCCTAGGGATTCAAGGCGGCTTACAAAATGACAACTTCAATACAAATCACAATACAATACCAAATTAAAATCAGTAACCCAATTAAAAAACGATTTAAAATTATACCAGTGTACCCCCAAACGGATCAGTTTAATTGGCGGAAGAGCCACGTCTTCAGCTCGCGACGGAAGGAAAGAAGGTCCTTTGAGGAGAACAGACATAATAACCTTGAAGGAAGAATGCAGGATTGGTTGCATCAACATCATTTAGGCCCAACAAAGACAAGGGGTTGAGTAAGAAACTCAAGATTGCCTTCCCTTGATTCTATTTGGCATAAGAGGGGAAAGCAAGAATGTCAGGCTTTTACGATTCTGTTGTTATACTCTGCAATAATAAGAAGGAGGTCCAGTAGTCCTTGTGGAGTCTATTTCCTGGCAGACTAGGCTAATTAGAAGGAGTAAACATGGAGGAAGAAAGTTGTTGAGTAACATAGTAAGTGTGGCTACTGGCACTTTGTTCTTAGAATCCAGTTCACTGCATAGCCCTAGTAGAAGCTCTGGTAAGTCTTTTGTACCTCAGTTTCCTATTTATTCTCTTCTAGACAAGACAAGTGTGATTCTACCTTCAAGAAAAATATACACTGTGACTCTGCCTCCTGAAGGTTATGTACCAGTTGCTACTAATGAAAACAGTAAAGGATCTTCTGGAAGTGGTGCTGAGGACAGTAATACTGGTGCTCCAGGTAAGAGAAAATGCTTCATCTTTCTCTAAAGCAGCTAGTGCTTAAATATATGCGCTGCAGATAAATGGAAAGTTGCATCAGTTTACGGGCATGTACAACCATGTATGAAGTAAAGTGTGTCTGCTAGAATATACAATTATATAAAGAGACAATCATCCTAAAATCAGTACAGAATCCAGATTGAAACATTGCAGACAGATGCTCAGCTCTCTGAGTAATTGTTTCAATGGTAAAATGCCTTTCATGTTATGTTAACTTTGTACAGGCAGGAATTTTGTTACAGTGCTTTAACAGTAATCAGAATAGAGCTGGAAGGGATCTTGGAAATCTTCTAGTCCAACCCCCTGCTTAAAGAGATCCTCTACCATTCCAGACAAGTGGCTGTCCAGTCTCTTCTTTAAAACCTTCAATGATGAAGCACCTACAACTTCTGAAGGCAAGCTGTTCCACTGGTTAATTGTTCTCACTGAAGTTTCTCCTTAATTCTGCTACTTTCCTTGATTAGTTTCCATCCATTGCCTTCTGATGTTTTGGAAAATAAGTTGACTTCTCTCTTCTTTGGGCATCCCCCCCAATACATCCCCCCCAATACTGGAATACTGCTATCATGTCACACCCTAGTCCTTCTTTTAGGCACTACTCATTTTGTTCTTCATACTACTGTAAATGTTAACAAAGGATGAGTCTACTTGCTGCAAGCATTTCAAATACATCAAGTGATACCCTGAACTAAAAAAAAATTCACATAAAAATGGAAAGAGTGGATGTTAAATAATTTGGATTTGGTATGTAGCTTAATTCTGTGTGTAAAATTTCAGATAGGTGTAACATTTCTTTACATTTCATAGCACAACTTAATGCGATATATTTCCTATTTGTATTAAGAGGAGACTGATTAAACAGCAGAAAAAATATTTATGTTTTTCCCATTGTTAACAGCCTTATCTGTATAGAAAGATACGTATTAACCTTATCAAGAGGTCAAATATTCCTTTAAGAGCAGTTTCAGGCCAATTGACATGTAAATTACCTGTCAATTCTAGGGAAGCGGGGAAGACAGCGGTCAGGAAAGGGTTATCTGCTGCAATCCAGCGAAGATCGGGTCAGGAAAGTTGATAAGCTCCTCCTCCTGTCGCTTGCCAGCTTTCTGACTCGATCTGTGCTGGATCGAACGCACTTAGCCTCTCTCCTGAATTTCAGTCTTCCTTTTTACAATTTAATTGGCTTTTACAACTAAAAATTTTCTCTAAATTGACTGAGGTGCACAGCGAGAAGGGCTTTTTTGGTCCAACTCCGCTGCGACCGCTTGCGGTCTTGGGGGATTGAGACCCCTTGCCTGGGTCTCTCCCACGCGGCGCGAACGGTTAACGCCCGAAACCGCCCTTGGGAACCTCCTCTTCGAGTTGAGGTTCCCTGTTAATTGCCAGCGGCTGCTCCTTTGATTCCCGGCGAGCGCGCTCTTTCCTCGTCGAAGGCACCTCTCGAAACGTCTAGCAGCCGCCTCGCTTGTCTCGAAGCCCTCGCCGCCCTCGCCGCTTTATCAGCGCGCCTTGCCATTGCCTGCGCTCCCCGCCGAGGTTCCTCGCAGCGCCAGACCGGCTGGCTCATCATCGGAAGAAGCGGTATTGTATGAGGCTTCCCAGAGGGCCTTTAATTGGGGCGCTTCTTTATCTGAAGGGCGGCTAGAACGAGGGCCCTTTCTTATTGCGGCCGCCATTTTGTCGCCCTAGGCCACCACTGAACGCCTGGGCCTTGTCGGACGCCATTTTGGTTCTCCCTCGTGGCAGTTGGGGACCCCCCCTTTTTCCTTCGTTATGGCATCGCGCTCCTCTAAGGCGGCCAAACGCCACGTTCCGGAGGATCCGGCTCCTGGCCCCTCAGCGGAGCCTTCAAAAAAATCTAAAAAAACTCAGGCCTCCAAGGAGGAAAAGAAGGCTGCAGCACAAGCAAAGGAGGAGCTTCGCCTGCACCAGGCCATAGAACGCTCCATTCAAAAGGCCATGAGAGAGGCCTCTGTTAGAGAGGCCCCAGTCCACAGGGGGTGATGCCCACTTTAACTCCCCTGGCCCCTCAGGCTTCTGCGGCCCCTCCACCTGATCCTTCGGGTGACCAAGCCCAGGGTTCACGTCCTTTATCACCAGACGGGGGGCAATTGCCAGTCCCTGCTCAGAGGGAAATTTGTGAGGCCCTTTTTGGCTCCCAGTCGGATACTCCTTCTCATGACCAGGCACCTTCTCCCTCTGTACCTTCGGGTGCTGCACCGACTAATCTGGGGAACACTGCGCCTCCAGGGCCTGCTGTCACTCCTGAACTCATGGCCTATCTTCAATCCGCCATTCAGAAAGGGATCCAAGCGGAATTACAGCGCAGAACATCCTCCTGGGTGGCTGAATCTGCCTGTTCTCTCCCACATACTGAGGGTTCCCTCCAGGAAGAGGGTCAGGCCCCCCCTGAAGTCTTGATCAATTCGGGGGCCCCATCAGAAAAACCATCGTTCCAAGAGGATGATGCTAGGGAAAGGGACCTTTCCGAAGATGAGGACTTGGCTCCTGATCAGCCATCCTTCATAGGCTTGTTTAAGCCTCACCTGTTTAGGTCCCTATTGCACAAAGTCTCTAGCGGGGACAATCAGGGTTCCATTCCCCTATTTGAGGTTCCTGAAATAGAAGCTGAGGAGATCCCAGGCCCAAAGCTTTTCAGGGATGTGCTTAGGAAACAATGGTCTGCGCCTGCTTCAGGACCTAACCCTAATCAGCTTGACAGGCGGTTTTACAATTTGGCCCCTGAGTTGGCCTCTCTCCTGCAAATTCCAACTGTGGATCCTCCGGTAGCAGCCCTTCCGGCGCCTTCCAATGCTACTGGCCCCCCGGAGGACAACCTCCGCCCGGAGGACAAGCGCCTGGAACAGGCACTGATTAAATCCCATTTGGCCTCAGCGTGGGCGGCTAAGTCCACCATAGCCTCGTCATTTTTTAATAGGGCCTGCATTTTATGGGTACGTCAGCTGCAGGACAGGCTTCCAGTTACGGATTCCAGGACCCACCAGGATCTTAACAAAATCTTAGCGGCCCTGGAATTCTCGGCCGACGCGACGCTTAATGCGTCCCGTTTCTCCGCTAAGGCAATTGGCTCATCTGTAACCGCCCGGAGATTGCTCTGGCTCCGGAATTGGCAGGCAGACGCTAAATCAAAGTGGCGACTCGCCTCTGCTGCCTTCGAGGGTCCTTCTCTTTTCGGAGCCCCTTTAGAACCCCTATTAATTGAAACTAAGGACAAAAAGCGTATCCTTCCACCTGTCTCCAGGCGTTCTGAGTATCGTTCCTCGTCTGCTAACCTTCGCTCCTTTCGCCAGTCAGAATTCCCCTATTCGGGAGGCCGGTTCCCCAGGGCCCCCTACCCCCGTCCCAGACCTCCGGATCATCAGGGATTTCAGAATCAAAGGGGATTCTCCAGACGTCCACCCCGTGGGGGCCGCGGACGTCCCTTCCGCAGGTCCAGGTAGCTCCCCTCCCAGTCCTCCCATTGGGGGCCGCCTGGCTCTCTTTGCCGGCCAGTGGGAGAGTACTTCCTCCGATGCTTGGGTCCGGGAGACGGTTAGGTGGGGCCTCTCCCTCGAATTTCTCTCCACCCCTCCCGACCGGTTTCTACGTTGCCCTCTTTCTCGGGATCGTCAGAAACGGCTCCTGCTGGCCTCGGCTATCAAACACCTCCTTGACATTCAGGCCATCGAACCGGTGCCGCAGGAGCAGCACGGGCAGGGCTTTTATTCCCGCCTGTTCCTCGTTCAGAAACCCTCGGGGGGTTGGAGAGCCATTCTAGACCTCAAATCTTTGAACCGCTGGGTCCCCTACCGGCGGTTCAAAATGCAGTCCCTCTCCTCTATCTTAGAGAGTGTCAGGATCGGGGACTTCCTCACCTCAATTGACCTGACTGAGGCCTACCTTCATGTCCCCATTCATCCGGCGTACGTTAAATTCCTTCGGTTTTGTCATGCGGGCCGTCACTACCAATACCGCGCCCTCCCATTCGGCTTATCCTCGGCTCCCCGAGTTTTTACTAAATTGATGGCCGCTGTTGCGGCACACCTCCGGGCTCTCCCAATTCGGATCCTCTGCTACCTTGATGACCTCCTCATTCTCTCGAGCTCGGAGGATAGGGCGCATCAGGACCTGGACTCCACCCTCCGGGTCCTGATGGCTCACGGTTTCTCCATCAATTGGGCCAAGAGCCATCTGGTACCCACGACCCGGATCCAACACCTGGGGGCTATCATCGATACGGTCGAGAGCAAGGTCTTTCTTTCCGAGGAACGTCTGTCCAGCCTGCGGTCTCTGGTCAGTTCGGTCGCACAGGGATCTCCTGTTCCCTTGGCGACCCTTTCCCAACTCCTCAGAAAGATGGTATCGTGTATCGGCATTGTGCCATGGGCCCGTCTCCACTGCAGGCCCCTGCAGTGGTTTCTTCTCCCGTATCAGAAGTCCCAACTTTCGGCTTCTAACCAAATTGTTCACCTTAACCCCACCATCATTCAGTCCCTCCACTGGTGGTCCTCCAGGGCCCTTTTCAAAGGGAGGGAGTTCAGGGAGCCCGACCCTGTCATTCTAACAACAGACGCCAGCCTTCTGGGCTGGGGGGCTCATGTCCATTCCCACATGGCCCAGGGCTCATGGACCTCGGAGGACAAGTCACACAACATAAACTGGCTGGAGCTCCGGTCCATTTACCTGGCCCTCAGAGTTTTCACGAACATCGTCAAGGACCGGCATGTGGTCGTCCGGACGGACAACGTGGCGGCCAAGGCCAATGTCAATCGCCTGGGAGGGACCCGGTCCCTCTCTCTCATGGAAGAGGCGGATCGATTGGGAACCTGGGCAGAGGCCAACCTGCGATCGCTGCGAGCAGTCCATATCTCCGGCCTTGCCAACTCCCAGGCCGACTGGCTGAGCCGCTCTCCATTGGACCACAGCGAGTGGCGCCTCGACCCGGCCATGTTCACGCGG